GCAAAAACCGTGTGTGAACGCAGGTGTAGGCGTACGCTAGCCTTTGCTATAGAGAGAGGCTTATACGCATTTCCTTATGTTCTATGGAGCAACTTGGTGCGCAAAGATAGCGGTAGAGGGCTATGCTTTGGGTTTACTAAGTGTTTGACGATTATAGAGGCAAAGGTTCTATTTCTATATCTTCAAGGTTGGTAAGGGTGTTGGAACTGGGTGACGGAGCATTGGCGTCAGAAGAATAAATCTGAAGTTACAATCTCCTAATCAAAACTGTGTCGTATAGGCTTATTTTTGTTTAGTCATTTAAGTTGGTTAGTATGTGGTTTGAGTCCTTTGGCGTTATTTGTAGTTGCTGGGTTTTTTATGAGTCGGTTAGAAGTGGGAGATGAGGGATAGTGGCTGGGAGTTTGCTGCCGAGTTTGGTGGACAAAAACTTGTATTTATATCTTCCTTTGATCAATTGAATATTGTGTCAATTTGCAGCATATTGGTTTCACATGTGGTATCAGAGCCAATAGCAAACTGTAGCCACGATTTCTACGAGTGAAATTGAGAGTCTGAAATTTACAGATTGGGATTGAAAACACGAGTGATTGATTGTGAGGATTGCTTCTGGGTGTGAGTAAAACACGAGAGGCTTGGTGAGTGATTGATTTTGGGGATTGCTTCTGTGTGCTGAGTGAAAACACGAGAAGCTTGGTGAGATTTAACATCATTGTGAGCTGTGTGTTGAAGTCATGGGTGAAATCAGTGACTTTGCTCAAATTCGTATCCCGACGTTTGACGGGGATTATGATTATTGGAGTCTTTTGATGGAAAATCTATTTCGATCCGAGGAATATTGGGGAGTAGTGAGTGAGGGCTTTACAGAACCAACGGCTGGAGCAAAACTTTCTGCATTTCAGATTAAAACCCTTGAAGATTTGAGGTTGAAAGACCTTAAAGCCAAGAACTATCTCTTTGGGTCAATCGACAAAACCATTTTGAAGACAATTACAAAGAAGGATACTGCAAAGCAGCTGTGGGATTCCATGAAGACCAAGTTCCAAGGGAGTGTCAGGGTAAGACGTGCTAAACTTCAAGCTCTAAGGCGTGACTTTGAGATGCTAGAGATGAAAAAGGGTGAAACTGTGAATGAATATTTTGGCAGAGTCATGGTAGTCTCCAATGCTATGGCAAGCTGCGGAGAGACCATATCTGATGTTCAAATAGTTGAAAAAAATACTCAGAACTCTTACTGAGAATTTCAACTATGTTGTTTGTGCAATTGAGGAGTCAAATGATATAGATACTTTGTCTGTAGATGCACTTCAAAGTTCTTTAATTGTGCATGAACAGAAGTTTAGCAAAATAGTTCTAGATGATGATCAAGCTCTTAAGGTAGGGCTTGATGATGGAAGAGTAAGGACAGGTCGTGAAACCTTTTATGGCAAAGGTAAAGAAAGTGGCAGTTTTCCGGGAAAAGGAAACTTTCAAGAAAAGGGTCGAGGGAGAGATGGTAGAGTATGGAATCGAGGCACGATAGAGTGCTTTAAGTGTCATAGGTTGGGTCACTTCAGAAGTGAATGTCCAGAATGGGATCAACATGCATACTACTCCAAAGGATCTATTGATATGAGAGAAGAAATGCTTCTCATGGCTTATACTGAACCAGAGAAAGATGTGCAAAAGATGATAGATTGCTTGGAGTCTATGAAAAGTTTGATAATCAGTGGGTTTTAGATTCTAATTGCTGCAATCATATGTGTAAGGTCAAAAAGTGGTTTTCTTATCTTGACAGTAGCTTTACTTGTACTGTCAATCTGGGATATGGGATCAAACTTCAAGCGTTGGGTAAAGGGATTATAAGGATGAAAGTAGAAGAAAGAACTTGGGTGATTCGTGAGGTGTTATATATTCCAGAGTTAGAAATCAATTTACTCAGTATGGGGCAACTGCAAGAGAAAGGCCTGGCTATTCTTATATCTCAGGGGAGCTGCAGGATCCTTCATAATGATAACAGCTTGTTATTTCAAACAAGCATGAACAAAAACAGGTTGTTTACTCTTCATGCTGAGTCTGCTGTTATGCCATTAGCTCAAGACATGTATTGTCTGCAACTAATTGAAGTTGAAGAAGACCAAGAAAAACAAGAAAAAGGAGGAGGAGAAGTGATGAAGCCAGCACCATATATAAAACATACAGTAGCATCTGATGCTGTCAAACAAGTAGCTATCATGCAGTCACAAGTAAAAGATGAGCTGGTAAACACTGATGTACTCGGACTAATCTCACCTACACTCGAACCTATGAAGCTCGAGAAGCAGCAGGCAACAAAGAATCACAAATGGAAGCTCAAAGATCAGCCTTCTAAAGTTAAGGAAACTAGAGGAAAGTGGGAGTTAAGTGAAGACGTGAAAGATGAACAACCAATTGGATTTGTGTTTGATGGGGTGGAAGAAAATAGTCACAGATTCAATAAAGCATTATACAATTTGAAGGAAGCTAAAAAAGTATGTTACACAAAAACTGAAAGGGATTTGGTGCTGTATGCAAAGAGTTTTGAGAAATTGGTTGAGGAGCTCAAAGTGTCAAAGCATGTAGTGGTTGAGATTACTGAACGTGGCAAGAAGATAAACATTATGGGAGCAGAACTGCTTCAGCGTGATAAAGACTTGAAGATTATGGGCCCTAGAACAATGTTGATTGAGCAAGAAAAGGAGTCTGAAGTTGTCGATATTCCTCAAAGGTGTGCAGGGAAAGTAAAGTTGCAACCACATGGGTTTGTGGTTGAAGGGGAGGAAGAGATGCATACAGAGAAGATTATTAAGGGGTTTCGAGTAGTTTACAAAAAGTATATTTGGGATTCCACGGCTTCAAGAGTTGAGCTTGCATTAGCTAAAGATGAGATCCTAGTGAATGCAACCAGGGATACAGAGATATTTACAGTTGCAACTGTTTTTGCAGCAAGTTTGGTCAGCTTTGGAGTTGTTTTTGCTGCTGGTTTGGTCCATTTTGCAGTTGTTTTAGCTCTTGGTTTGGTCATTTTTGGTGCTAGTAGTTTTGAAACTACTCGTGCAGACCAAATGAAGATAAAAAACAGTAATATAATGATTGATGAATGCAAACCTGGAGACGGACTGCAGGTGAATTCTCAGCATGAGCAATTGACTGGAAGCTTGTCATACTTGAAGAACACCCTTGGTTGGGGCATTATTGACAAAAGAGGTACTCAAGACATATATGTGGAGAGCTGTACTGATAATTATTATGCTGGTAGCATGGACAATTGAAGAAGCAGAAATGAGCATGTATTTCAGGGAACAAGAAGAGTTGTATGGGAAGTTAACAAGAGCAGTTCGTATGAATCAAGGGAATCTTTCATGTCAATGGAAAGAAGGAGAATTGGGACAGGTGCTGAACGGGATAACTTCATAGCTCATGGGTTGTGGAAGAGCCAGAGAGTTTGGAAGGGTGTTCAGATTAACAGTAGGATGATTCCAAATAACGCAAGAGCTTATGTGTTTGTTTTTAACACCTTAGTACTTGGGTTGGGCAGAGCATTAGAAATCGGATTATTTGTGATGAATGAAGTGAGTGAGCTTTCGTTTGTTTTGGGAGAGGCTATTTTTCAAGATTTGTTGGAAGCAAGAGAGGAGCAAAGTTTGTACATCAAAGCATCTCACTGTGATGCAAAATGCATCAGGTTGAGAAGGACTATAAAGGAAAGTGGGGCTGTAAATGTGGTGGGACAATGCAACTGGTGGACAAGGGTCTTTTGGAGGAAATGATCACTTGGGATTTGGGAAGGAAGTGTGTGGTTGAAGTAGCAGCGAAGCTGGAGTATTACAAGGTTTGGAGAGTGTGAATATTTGGAGGTTATTTGGGGAGAACATATGAGTTGATGCTGCTGCAAAGTAGTTGCTGCTGGTGACTTGAAGTAAACTGAAGCATGAATATGCTTTAGTTTAGGGGAGGATTTGTTGGAACTGGGTGACGGAGCATTGGCGTCAGAAGAATAAATCTGAAGTTACAGTCTCTTAATCAAAACTGTGTCGTATAGGCTTATTTTTGTTTAGTCATTTAAGTTGGTTAGTATGTGGTTTGAGTCCTTTGGCGTTATTTGTAGTTGCTGGGTTTTTTATGAGTCGGTTAGAAGTGGGAGATGAGGGATAGTGGCTGGGAGTTTGTTGCCGAGTTTGGGTGGACAAAAACTTGTATTTATATCTTCCTTTGATCAATTGAATATTGTGTCAGTTTGCAGCATATTGGTTTCACAAGGGGTACGGATTGGGATCCGAGTTTGTTTATATCGTTCTTGTTCTTTGCATTCCTCACTTTCAATTTCTCTTGATAGGTGATCATTAATAAAAGGAGTTTTCTAGAATCGGTGGATACTGATTCTGAAACGAGGACGGATCAGTAATTTTAAATTTGTGCATTCCTCACTTTCAATTTCTCTTCATGTGCTCATTTACCTTTCCATTGGGTTCTTCGTTCACTTTGATAATCTGTTTCAAAGAAGGAAGAAGAAGCTACTACTTCTTTATCTTTTGGGCTGAAGAATAATTCTAAGGAATTGATCAATTGGCCTCAAGAGTTAAGAGCTTCCTTCCCTCCAACTCTGATCCATACCTCCCGATTTTATTGGGCTTTTTAACTTTTAGCGCACTAAGTGTACTAGAATAAAGATTAAAGAGGAAGGAGAAACAATTTTATAGCAACAAGCCAACAATGGCACGTATTGGTTCGGGATTAGTGGACTTAAAAAAGTTTAACCAGCAACGAATCCCACCAAGCCAAAACGTAGTCGTTCTTTTAGCAGAAAGCCAAAAGAAAAAACACACACACACGAAACGCATAACAAAAGAAACGGGAAGCCAGCCATCCTCAGAACCTCTTATTCCTTTCGATTCCTCATATCCAGAAGATCCATTGATGTCATCATACTCAGTCACATTTTTGTTGCCATGATTAACATGAGTACTATTGCATCCGCTATCCGCGGCGTCCATGGTTCCTGATCAAAATCTCCAAAATTTTATGATAAATAAAAGATATATATATATGGAGTAAGTTTTGACAAACAAAACAAATTTCTGTACGAGTACGTACTGATGGTCGGAAAGAACCCAGCCGGCAATGTCGGCGATGGACTTGAGAGCAAGTCGCCAGCGATTGACCCTGACGTACGTGAACTTTTCCTTGTGGCGGTCCAAGTCGCGCTTGTAGCAGCCGGAAGAGAGATCCGAGACACCGGAGGGGGGCAAATGGTAAAAGACCGGCAAGGCACGGTCATATCTGAGCCAGCTGTAGAATTTGATGACGCGGAATTGAAACGAACACAGAACACAAGAGTTTTATGTGGTATCCTCGATCGATTGATTGATCGAGACTAATCCACGGTGAGCTCGAAACGAGCTCACGACTGATATTTTATTAGGGACTACATTGTAACGACTTGCTTACGACAATCTCGTAGCTAAGCTTATATAGAGATAGACATAGGGTTAAAACCCTAATAACAACCAAGCTTCCTTCTTTGACAAGGACAAGGAAACAAGGGACTTGGAGGACAAGGAATTAATTATTTTTGACTAAATAATTAATATCCTCAACACTCCCCCTCAAGCGAAGACATGAATGACAAGAATGTCGAGCTTGAAAAAGGAAATGTGACGAACAAGCATGACAAGCTTGAACAACAAAACTCGAGATGAACAACATCTTGGACAAGGCTGATTTGGAGACGACTGACTCTCTCCCTTGAGCAACCTGATGAAGATGGTTGACTGCATCTTCTTGAACGTCGTGACGAGACGGTTGATTGCATCTCTTGAACAACCTGACGGAGACGGTTGACTGCGTCTCTTGAATGACTTGACGGAGACGGTTGACTACGTCTATCCATATGATATGGTGGAGATGGTTGACTGCATCTCCTGAACGATGGTGGAGATGGTTGACTGCATCTCCTGAACGACTTGACTCCCTATTCTCCCCCTCAAGCTGACGCATGAACGATGTGAATGCCCAGCTTGAAAGTTAGAATGGTGATGACTCAACATTGACCGATGCTGAATGTTGAGGGGACGATCGCTATTGGGATCGTGACTGCCTCGCTTTATGACTTGACAAACTTTGTTGACATCTCCCAACACTAGCTACTTGAAGAAATGACCACGGTCGATCATGATTACCTTCAATGCCATGACTGTGATGTTGGTGAAGATTCTTCTCTCTACGTGACCTTGACTGGCCACAATGACAACTTGAATCCCAAATAAATAGGTTGGACAAGCTTTTGGCACTATGCATGCATTAATGGAACCAATTGATGGATAACTGCCCAAGTGAAACTAACTCCACGCCTGAACGACCAATTGTGACTGTGAGTGCTTGATGAAGACCGTGACATGGAACAAAGACAGAATTGGCCAACAAAAGACAAGCATGGCTGGAGAACCAACTTCACGTCTTCACCGCTCCCCCTATGCTCGACAAGAAGGCCACACTTCAGCCCATTGTTTTATCGACTACAGGTCAGGCCCAGCCATCTGCGGCCCAAAGAGTGAAAAGTAGGGTTTGGAGACCCATTCTCCTGCCTCCATTTTCCCTTTGCATCTGCTCGTTCCGAGGCTGATTTGCTCGGCAATGGCGACCTGGCAGCCCGGCAACAGGAGATGGAGCGATGGCGGCCAAATAAAGAAGGCGACGTTGGCGGGAGCTAGGAGATGAATTGATGGCGGCCGTGTTTGATTGCGACGACTAGGGAGCGGACGAGATCGACGATGGCGATGGTCGGCGGTCTGGAGCTGGAGACGGTGGCGAGAGCAAAGGACGGCCATGGGATCGATGGCGCCTGAGCTGCTATTGACGACGATGATGACGATGGCTACGACGGGAGATAGGAGCGGGTTGATGCTGGTGGCTCGTCCGGATGGTGACTGGACGATGAGTGTCGGAACGTTGATGGCGGATCTAGAGAACTCATCTTGCCGGCGACGACAACGATGCAGGCTCTGGTAGCGACGACGTGATGACTGAGCCGGCGAACGACTGTGACTGAATGGAGGGTGATTGATCGGTCACCTTGATGCGGATCTAGAGATCTCATCTTGCCGGCGACGACAACGATGCAGGCTCTGGTAGCGACGACGTGATGACTGAGCCGGCGAACGACTGTGACTGAATGGAGGCTGATTGATCGGTCACCTTCATGGAGTTGACTGGGGATAGCAACGTCGACCTTAGGAGATGATGAATCCGGCTGGTGGAGGAGACCGGCGAACTGGACGGAGTGCCGGAACCGACGCCAGACGGCAGAACTCCTACTGAATGAGACTTCTGGACGACGCTGATCTTTGGACGGACTCGGCGGCAGATCTGAGACTTACGGGCATATGCGAGGCCACCTTGGAGATTACGGAAAACAAGACTTGATTGTAGGCCTTGACGGAGACGGAAGCACTGACTTCTACCGCTTCTGTTGTTACCGCCAGGAAGGATGATGTTGCTGGAGAGGCAACGAATGCGGATTGCGGAAGCTCAAAACCCTAGACAAGGGATCGAGTTTCGCTCTGATACCATGTAGAATTTGATGACGCGGAATTGAAACGAACACAGAACACAAGAGTTTTATGTGGTATCCTCGATCGATTGATTGATCGAGACTAATCCACGGTGAGCTCGAAACGAGTTCACGACTGATATTTTATTAGGGACTACATTGTAACGACTTGCTTACGACAATCTCGTAGCTAAGCTTATATAGAGATAGACATAGGGTTAAAACCCTAATAACAACCAAGCTTCCTTCTTTGACAAGGACAAGGAAACAAGGGACTTGGAGGACAAGGAATTAATTATTTTTGACTAAATAATTAATATCCTCAACACCAGCTCGTCCAAGCACCACGTGGAAGAGGCGTAGCCCTTGGACAAAACGACGACGGAGAATCTGGACTCCGCGATTGCCCTTGGGATGGCCTCCGCGATGTATTGGCCTTTCGGGATGTTGATGTTGTCTATGAACACCCCAATGCCCATCCTAGTCAGGGCGCGGTGAAGGTGGGCGATGAAGGTGTGGCGGACGTCAGACCCACGAAAGCTGAGGAACACGTCGTACTTCCAAGTGCAGCTGCGGTGACGACCCCCGCCGGAAGCGGCCGCAGCTGGGTAATCATCGTTGAACATTGTCGATGGTTTGTCGACGGGCGAGTATGAGAGAATGTATATGGGAGTCAGGGAGTGGGCTAGCTGGGGTGACCAATTTATAATACACTCGTGATATTCATAAGACAAAAAACAGAAAGAAAAAACACCTCTGCAGATGATCTTATACGTACACGTCACCAGCTTCTTGCAATCTACAGGCGTTTATTAATCAGCAAAATCCAAAATGCATATATCATTGTTTATCGACGGTCCAAACTTAGAGTTTTTTCCAGAAATAGCACTGTTTAAAAAAAAAATTCCAAAAATAGCACCCAACTCCGAAAAATTCCAAAAATAGCACCATTTTTGAAAAACCGCATCCCGGAGGTGCGTTTTTCGATGAAAACGCCACCTGAGGGTGCGTTTTTCGATGAAAACCGCACCGGTAGGGAGCGGTTTTGCAAACCGCACCCCCAGGGTGCGATCTGTCTTTTTTTTTTTTTTTTTTTTTGCAAACCGCACCCCCAGGGTGCGATCTGCCTTTTTTTTTTTTTTTTGGAAAAATCCTAATTTAGGTGGAAACTTCAAACGGACGTATCTTTATGTTCGGGTATCCGATCGTCGCGATTTTTTTTTTGATTCCGCATAACTTTTTGAGATCTTGCAAGCCAAAGACTGCCAAAGGTGGTTTGGTCTCGCCTTCGTCCCAAAAAATGTCGTTTGCTACCCTGAACGAACTTTTTTCTGATTTCGTCAAACTTTGGACAAACATAACTTTGTGCTCCAAAATCCAAACGGCATGGAATTTTTTTTATTTCACATATTTTTTTTAATGTGAAATAGTCCATAAAAAGTTATGCGAAATAAAAAAAATCATGCCGTTTTCGCATAAATCCAAACGGCATGATTTTTTTTATTTCACATAAATTATAGTCCTTAAAAAGTTATGCGAAATTAAAAAAAATCATGGCGTTTGGATTTGGAGCACAAAGTTACGGTTGTCCAAAGTTTGACGAAATCGGAAAAAAGCTCGTTCGGGGTAGCAAACGACATTTTTTGGTACGAAGGCGAGACCAAACCACCTTTGACAGTCTTCGGCTTGCAAGATCTCAAAAAGTTATGCGGAATCAAAAAAAAAATCGCGACGATCGGATACCCGAACATAAAGATACGTTCGTTTGAAGTTTCCACCTAAATTAGGATTTTCAAAAAAAAAAAAAAAAAAGGCAGATCGCACCCTGGGGGTGCGGTTTGCAAAAAAAAAAAAAAAAAAAAGACAGATCGCACCCTGGGGGTGCGGTTTGCAAAACCGCTCCCTACCGGTGCGGTTTTCATCGAAAAACGCGCCCTCGGGTGGCGTTTTCATCGAAAAACGCACCTCCGGGATGCGGTTTTTCAAAAATGGTGCTATTTTTGGAATTTTTCGGAGTTGGGTGCTATTTTTGGAATTTTTTTTTTAAACAGTGCTATTTCTGGAAAAATCTCCCAAACTTAGCTAGAGATAAATCATGAAGTAAAAAATGTAAGAAATGCTCTTCTCTTCTTCGACAGGCCGACCGATAGAGCAAACTGTGGGAAAAAGATTCTGCAATGTCACAAGACAATCTCAGCAGATTGCACAGTACTGAGTGACTGCACCAACGCGCTTTGGCCAATCAGAAGCAGACAACACGAACACCTTACCTAAATAGGGGGCAGCAACGAGAGGAAGGCCGGAAGGAATCGAGAAAGAGAACAATTAATTGGTCTAGGCATGCATGCATGCATATGCATCCATACTCTATTTGCAGTAGTGATCTGACTGCCCCAAACCCAAGAAAACAATGGTGATCGATCACGTATATAGCAATAGCATAGTGTTTCGTTGGCGAAACTCGCGTGTTCAATGCGCACTGTTTTCAAGCAAACACACAAAACACCACGTTAATCACAACCGTCAAATATCCGTTGCCGAAGTCGGCGCCGTTGATTTGATCGATCGAACAGAAAACAAAGAAGATCGTCAAATATCCGCCACCGGTGTCGGCGTCGTTGATTTGATCGATACACCCTTGACTTCTAATCAAACAACCGTTATTCGGTTCACCACCTCTCCAAACTACGTTCGAACGAGGGTGTTCGGCGAATAACCAGAAAATCGAACCAGGAGTGTTCTAAGTTACGTTACCTCTACTCCTATGGAGGTTCCTCTGGAGAGCTCCGCAACTACGACTACGACTACAAGCTACGACTACGACTCTGCAAAGGAGGTCTTTGACAGAGCGATTCTACGAAAACTAGAGAGAAAAACTGATAATCTGCGACGGTGCAGTTTGTGATTTGATTTTGCCGTCTCGAACTTCTCTCTCTTCCAAATCTTTATACTTCGCGCTTCTCCTCGTCGTAGTAACTGCCTTCGCGCCTTTGTCTCCCACGTCTTCATTCCTGTCAACCGTGCAGGTAACTTCCTCCTTGTTGCGTAACTCCCACGAGTGCGAAACCGCTTGGACACGCGGAAACTTGGCCAAAACGACACCGAGCCAAAATCCACAAAACTTTCGCCACTGCGACGTTGTTTTCTATTAAACAACATCGTTTCAGTACCGCGGCGGTGTTGACATCTCCCATGATGTCGTTTTCGACTAAATGACACCGTCTAAACCAATCCTTAAAATATTAATTAATTAAACTGGGCATCATTGTTGACACGCCGTCAAACCCTCACTTCGCAGCGCCGTTTTAATTAAACAGCATCGTTTTCTAGTTCTGCGATGCTGTTGAACTTCGCGATGCCGTTTTAACACTGTCGTTTTAACTATTGCGGCATCGTTTGGCCTACTCGCGGTGTCGTTTCTTTCCTCTTGCGGCATCGTTTTCAACTAAACAACACCGTCCTAAATAATCATTAACAATATTAGTTAATTAATCCGGTCATCACTAGCTATGGCCAACGCCATCACTAGCGCCACAACAACTCTGTTTGTTTTTCCCTTTTGCGACATTGTTTGTTATTTTAAACATTGTCGTTTGCTAGTCCGCGATACCGTTGGGCTTACTCGCGGTACCGTTTTGAACTAAACGACACCGTCGATATAGCCAAAAAATATTAATCCATGGAAACACCGCAGTCGGCGCTCGCATTGGGCCGGGTGAATTTTGGTCACTTGCCCGTCGGTACCGCTTGCCAGGCTCTCGCGGCCCCGTTTTTAAATCCACGGTACCGTTTTAACTCTCCGCGGTACCGTTTTTCTCCATGCGGTACCGATTTTCCTCCTCCAACAAGGAATAAAAATATTAATTAATTAAACACAACACTCCTTCTCCAACAAGAAACCACACGCGCGGCCCTTGTTTTTTTATTTTCGGCAAGCGGTGCCGTTTCCAGTGCCGCGGTACCGGTGAGCTCCCTTGCGGTACCGTTTTAACTCTCCACGGTACCGGTGAGCTCCCTTACGGTACCGTTTTAACTCTCCGCGGTACCGGTGAGCTCCCTTGCGGTACCGTTTTAACTCCAAACGATACCGTTTTTTAACCCGCGGTATCGAATTAAATGCCGTGACTAATTAATGCGGCATTTAACTCTGGCCAAATTAATTTTATGTGTCAACACTGCTGAAATTGTTTATCACCGGCGTCGTTAATCTCGCGACGCCGGCAATATTAAAAACAAAATTATTTTTAGGTGTAAACACATAGTAGCCGGGGCCCACGGACCACTCGAAAACTAACGAGGATCCGTTAATTCCATACTCAAGAAACATCCAGCGCCGACAAATCACGAACAACCCGGGGCCGGTCTCTCTGGCTGCTGTGGCCATGTTCTTCTTTCTCTCTTCATATACTACTAGTTCCATCCGGCTTGGTTGTCAGGTGGGGCAGGTGTAAGCAAAGGGAGTTGCTAAAGGTCGCCCTTAAAATTGCTAAAGGTCGCCCTAAAAAGAATCAAAGTTACACTTTTACCCCCTTAGCTTCTTTACCTTCCCTTTATGAAACAAACACCACTTGGACTAAAAAAACACTATCTAAGAAGAGAAAAATCCATCATCGTCATTTTGAAGCCGATATCGTCGGAGTAGCGACTCCGACGAGGTAAATACATTAACTGAAAAACGAAAAAAAAAAAGGAACCGCAAATCACCTGCGGTTGTACCATGGGTGGACCGCAATTGACCTGCGGTTGGACCATGGGTGGACCGCAAATGACCTGCGGTTGGACCATGGCTGGACCGCAAATCACCTGCGGTTGAGCCATGGTCCAACCGCAGGTCAATTGCGGTCCACCCATGGTACAACCGCAGGTCATTTGCGGTCCAGCCATGGTCCAACCGCAGGTCACTTGCGGTTGGACATTTTTTGGGTTTATTTTTTTCGTTGAATAATTTTTTATTTTTTATATGATTTATGATTTTTTCGTTTGAATTATTAATAATGGATTATTAATAATAGAGTACATAAAGTAATTAATTTAAGATTTCCATGTAATCATTATTTACGTTACGTTCTATGTAATCATTATTTACATAAAAGTAAATAATTAATTAAGGTAAAATTATTAATAATTAAGTAGATAAACGAATTACTTTTAAATTTTTATTATTAAAATGTTTAATTTTTTTATTATATTCTTTAAATTTGTTATCATTAATTAACATTTATCGAAAACGTTTTTCAAATTTTTATATCATATAACTAATTTTTTATTATTAATAATATTTATTTAAACACAGAATATTAAAAAAAAACAGAATTAAAAAAAAAATTCGACCGCGGTCAAACCGCGGTTAGACCGACGGTCAACCGCGGTCAACGCGCGGTTGAACCGACGGCTGACCGCGGTTTGACCATTGGTCAATCGCCCTTTGACCGCGGTCAGCCGTCGGTTCAACCGCGCGTTGACCGCGGTTGACCGTCGG